AGTCTATAACTGGTAACCTTTCATCATTTTTGCATCCATCGGTATCCATTCTCAGAGACCAAGGGGGTATTCTTACGCCTAACGATTAGGTAATATCAGTCTGGAAATTACCATCCATAGTGATAAAACGTTTAGTCCTCATATTTAAGTCAGTACTTAGGCCAAAATAATATGAAACCGGTTACTCTCTAGTGACTAGTCAATGTAACTCATCCAGTTCTGTAGGAGGTCGGTCGTGGGAAGAATAGCTCAGCAGTTAGCTGTCTGACTGCAGCACTGCATGACGCCAGTTCATAATTCTGAGGATAAGTCAGTTCTACCAAGCTTGTGAAAATATATTTCTGACGGTTTCTAATAAGCACAGGTTAGACAGAACTTCGTACTGACCACTTCCAGCCGACCAAAATACTCAAAAACACTTTGCAAAACAAATCCTTGTTCTTTACTGCTTTTCACTGTGCTAAATGTAATTTAGCAATCTTGCCCTGTGTGTTTCTACATGATATTATATACATTGTTTCCAGAATCCTCGCTAGTCAACTGTTATCACCTCCCGCGTTTACCCGTGTCATGCTATGTGCTAATTATATACATCATCATTAGCAGCTTTCACATACCCCACTAATTCTTATTTTTCAAAATTGAATCCTAACTTCATTATCACTGAAATCTACGTACGACTGAACTACCCCAACATCACTATGATCTTACCGCATTAAGTAAAGTCTTAACAAGTTTTCCTGTTTTTTCATAGCAGCCATAAATGTAATTCGCTCATCTTAGGTGCATGAATTCAAACACTTGTTCTTCATAAATTGATTGTTATTTCAAAATAGTTTTCATCACGATTAGAAATCACCTACACAACCGCTGATGTCTTATATTTTCGTACGCCCACGGTTATATATATTCCGAACGAATGTAATACGCACGCTTAGCTGACAGCTAACTTATTACGCAAGAGCCACTGACTGGAACCGCGCGATGAATAGAGAGAAGATCGAAGCTGGCAGATGGGAGAGTGTATTACTCCGAGAATATAATAATAATCCCAAAACCAAAACACGTGAATAAGTACACACATGAAAAATGACCTTGTCCACAATTTGAAACACAGGCATGGTAATAGTAAGATTAACCAATCAGTGATTTACATTACAATGAAGGCAGAAAACAGACTCCTAATCATACCGTAAAAAATGGTATGGGAATCACACGTTAAAATGTTTATATCATGAATAACAATGTTTTATACAAAACTGGAGCCTTACAACACCCCTTTTTTTTAAAAAATCAGAAAAAATTTAATACCTTCGCTTTTTAAGACCCACTTGGAAACGAACTGTTTGAGACCGCTTCCGATTCATACATTTTCTGGGTTGACGCTCCTTGTTGAGTTTGGGTTCGAGTTTTTTCATCGCCACTGGTAAATTAACCGTATCCAGAAGGATATCGAGTGGTATGGTTAGATTCTCTGGTTGGTTGGCTTTTCTGTGACGCATCTGATACTTGTGTCTCTCGTAAGGCGTTGGATACTCACTTATAAGCCTTGAAAGTGCTTATGCATGTCCGAAGTCTTCTGTTCGGTGATATTTAATACCGAAATAATAGCCAAGTAATGTTAACGTCCACCGTTGAAGTCTGTCAGCGGAATGAGCTGGAATAACGCATTTTGACCCAAAGATTGAGAGGAGGGGCTTGTGATCGGTGAACAAGATGAATTTCCATCCATACAACATCTTATGAAAGCATCTGACCGCGAAAACTAAGGCAAGTCTTTCCTTTTCTATCTATGAGTAGGGTTTTTCTGCTGACGTGAGTGATCAAGACGCATGTATGACAGCTTTTTGTGAACCATCCGCATATTCATGCAATAGGACAACCTCAACACCAGCGGTGGAAGCATCTGCGGCAACGACGATTGGTAGCTGTGGGTCATAATGCGTTAACAGGAGATTAAAGCTGAGAGTGGACTTGAGTCGTTCTATAGCCGTTTCATATTCTCTCGACCAGGACCATGTGGCATCCTTGCGTAGGAGACGACTCAAAGGTTCCCGTATATCATGTAGGGAGGGCAGGAATGCCGAATAGTAACTGATGAGACCAAGAAAGGTTCGGAGAGTCACGACATCTGTTGGCGTGGGCATCTGCTGTATAGCACGAATGTTTTCAGGATCGGGATGTCTACCAGATACATCAAAGATGAAACCTAAATATTTTACTGACTTTAGAAAGAACTGACATTTCTCCTTTCTGAGTCAAAGGTCGTTGTCTTGGATTCGCTGTAGGACTAACCGTATTCGATTCGTTAATTCCGCCGAACAGGCGGCGACTATTATGATCTTGTCGAGGTATGCAGCGAAACCTGGTATGCCTGCTAGCATAGTATCCATGATCTATCGAAAAATAGTGGTGGCAGTCGTAATGCCGAATGGCAGCCTATTGAACTGAAAAAAGACCTCGATAGTTATTGATGGTTAGTAATTCATGACATTCTGGAGAGACTTCAACTTGTAAGTATGCGTCCGCCAGATCGATTTTCGCGAAATATTTCCCCCATTTGCAGTAGTAAATAAATCATCTGGGAAAGGTAGGGGATAATAGTGTTGCTCCAAAGCAGCGTTTAACCCTGTCAAAAAATCAGCAAATAGTCGGATGGAGCCATTAGCTTTCTTTATGACAACGATTGGAGCAGCCCAAGAGGAATGGAATACTCCAGTAATGACATCCTGTCCCTGAAGTCGTTTCAGCTCTGCCTCGATGAGAGGTAGTGATGCATATGGGACGGGTCTTCTAGGACGAAAAACAGGTGATGCGTTTGATTTCAGGCGTTGGACGGCTTGGTTGTGATACAGTGACCAAGGCCAGGTTGGAATACCTCTGAATATTCAGTAATAATACTGTTAAGGTTCGTCGTGACATCTGACGGTTCTTTCACTTTGTTGCATGCCATATTCAGTGGAAGGTCGACGAATTTCAAACTCCCGAACCAGTAGGTTTCAATCAGTGTCAGATAGACGACAAATTCCATTTATCGAAGTATCGTGAAAAGATACAGTACATGATAACTGACCTGTTAGTGGTAATCGGCTACCGCATGCGCCAATAGCAGTTTGTGCCGTCTCCTGGACAGGAGGTTGGCCAATCTTCCACCAAAGCTTCTTGGAAATGATCATAATACCGGAGGCTATGTCGTTTATTTATGTGGTTATTTATCTGGACGGTGATAAATTTTCTCCGTGCCGGCGCATTTGCTTGAAATGCAGCAGTAAGACTAAGAGATTTGCTGACTGGTCGAGACTTCGATCTTCGACGGTGACCTGCCTGTTCTTTGTGATGGGTGCTACTTGCGAAATTCTCCTTTTGACCCACAGTATTACAATCTCTGCATTTATTCTGCTTATAAGGACAAGATTTAACGAAATGCCATGCTCCACAATGCCAGCAGGGGGACGGTGGGGTCTTCTTCATGTTTTTCTTTTGGTATTGTATGAGCTGCTGAGATGAAGAAACGGAGACGAAGAACCAGGGGTTTCTCGGCCAGAAAAGAATGTAGATGGATTAGATTTCTGGTAAACCGCATGCACTTCATGATCGCCCGGGCGTTCGGATTGGACTAAACTTGTATCCCGTTGCAAGTTGGTCGACCGTTGATATTCAGCAGCGATATCATTCAACGTTAGGGTTGGTTCTTACTCCAACCGATTTAACGATCTCATTCTAATATCTGCGAACTTGGGCGACTAAAGGCTGCATATGAGTATCAAAGATCTGAATTGGTCCTCGGTGATGGACTTCAGCTTGAATTTTTCACATTCGCGATTCATATTACTAACATGAGTGAGAAAATTATCACTCTCGTTCATGACCAGTTTAAGACAACGATATCTGGCATTGAAAAGAGACGAATGATCACCAAAATGTTGTCTTAGGGTCTGTATTATGGCATCAAAGGAGCGGTCCCTTGGATTTTGTGGCAACATTATATTGAAATACTTATCTAATTCGGATGCACCAAGTTTTCGAAGGAGGAGACAAACCTTTCATGAATCATCTTGACCAACAAAATCAAATCTGAATTAGTCTTCATATCTTCGAAACCAAGTATCGAAAGTCACATTAGCATCCGATTCATAATGAAAGTCTGTGATACTGGTTGTAATTCCGTCGACTGAACGGGCTGATATAGCAAGCGTAGGATTAGATGATTCAGCTGCAGAAATTCTTGACTGAGTTAATAACTTGATAATCTTCATTTGTTGTTCGAGAAATTTGTCCAGCTTCGAGGATGCCATTTTTGATCCAATCCCCGTCGCCGCCATTATATGTCTTCATCTTCAACGGTTATAATTGGACAGCTGTTTCATCCAGTTCGAGACTCCTCAGTAGTGCGACTCCAGAACCTTGTGAAGGACGGAACCCAGAACTGTCAGGTATCATGAAGAACAACCAATTGATTTTTATTCATATTGGAAGCTTATTAGGATTTGGTCCGACTCCTTATAAGGAACTATTATATACCCTTAGTTTTTCTGACGTTTGCCTGATACTTGCCTATAACCTAGAAATAACCTTATGATTTTTTCTTGGGGTCATTGCTAGCTTCCA